CGGAAAAAATTATCCCAGCCACTATTAATTTGCCAGTTTCTACAACAACCAGAGAAAATGATCCAGCCACTATTAATTTGCCAGTTTCTACAACAACCAGAGAAAATGACCCAACCACTATTAATTTGCCAGGCTCTAAAACAACCAGAGAAAGTTATCTAACCACTGTTAATTTGCTAGAGTATACAACAACCGAAGAAAATGATCCAACCGCTGTTCATTTTCCAGTTTCAACAACAACCAGAGAAAATGATCCAGCCATTGTTAATTCGCCAGTTTCAACAACAACCGAAGAAAATGACCCAACCACTGTTAATTTGCTAGAGACTAAAACAACCAGGGAAAATTACTTAACTACTGTTAATTTGCCAGAGTCTATAACAACTAGAGAAACACCTAAAACCTCTGAAACATTTACAACTCCTAAAATAATAGATTCAAAAACAGCAATACCAGAAGAAACTACAACTATTGAACAGGAAGAAATGTCGTTAGTTCCTAGCACTGATCAGTTTTCTTTGAAAACTGAACACTTCACAGAATACACAATGACATCAGACAAGATCAACCTAAGTATATTAGAAAATCAAACAGTAACAGAATCTTCAGAAGATTTCACATTTTCATCCAGTTTTACAAGCGGTAAGTGTTTTATTCTTATATTATATGGTATTTTTATAAATTTTAATGATTAATATCAAATATATAAAAAGAGCCTACAACTAATATAGAAAAAGAGGAGGATCTCTTGACACTCAGGTTATTACTTGTTCTTCACGTCAGAGTACTTTCTACTTCTCCCTGTACTTGAAAAATAATATCTGTAGATAGCTTAAGCGTCCCCTTTACTCGCAAAATTATACGTAGATAGAACAGACGGTCTGTTTACTCGCAAAATTATACGAAGATAGAACAGACGGTCTGTTTACTCGCAAAATTATACGTAGATAGAACAGACGGTCTGTTTACTCACATAATAATATCCTTACATAGAACAGACGGCCTGTTTAATCGCATAATAATATCCTTACATAGAACAAACGGCCTGTTTAATCGCATAATAATATCCTTACATAGAACAGATGGCCTGTATACTCACATAATAATATTCTTACATAGAACAGACGATCTGTTTACTCACATAATAATATCCTTACATAGAACAGATGGCCTGTTTACTCACATAATAATATATTCACATAGAACAGACGGCCTGTTTACTCACATAATAATATTCTTACATAGAACAGGCGATCTGTTTAATCGCATAATAATATCCTTACATAGAACAGACGGCCTGTATACTCACATACTAATATCCTTACATAGAACAGACGATCTGTTTACTCAAATAATAATATCCTTATATAGTACAGACGGCCTGTTTACTCACATAATAATATATTCACATAGAACAGACGGCCTGTTTACTCACATAATAATATTCTTACATAGAACACACGATCTGTTTACTTACATAATATCCTTACATAGAACAGACGGCCTATTTACTCAAATAATAATATCCTTATATAGAACGGACGGCCTGTTTACTCACATAATAATATCTTACATAGAACAGACGGCCTGTTTACTCACATAATAATATCCTTATATAGAACAGACGGCCTGTATACTCACGTAATAATATCCTTACATAGAACAGACGGTCTGTTTACTCACATAATAATATCCTTACATAGAACAGACGGCTGGCCTGTTTATTCACATAATAATATCCTTACATAGAACAGACGGTCTGTTTACTCACATAATAATATCCTTACATAGAACAGACGGCTGGCCTGTTTACTCACATAATAATATCCTTACATAGAACAGACGGCTGGCCTGTTTATTCACATAATAATATCCTTACATAGAACAGACGGTCTGTTTACTCGCATAATAATATTGTTAACTGGAATATATAATATTCTCTTGATCCATCAAGAGAAAAAGTTTCGAAGCAGATTATCTCGTTTGAAAACAGTGATAGATCTAACTTACAGGCCTAATAATATTTACATAAAACCGTCTTATGTAAGAATACTGCATTCAAAGCTTTGTGTGTTAGTTTAACTGCTTAATTCTGAAACTATAAGATAAATTAGAAATCATATTTTTTTTTTACATTGCTGATCCATAAACGCAAACGGTGGACTGAAGCCAATCTCTTATACCACTTCAGTAATTAACTGAAATTATTGAATACTAAATATTACAAAAGAAAATATAATATTAGGATAACGCAAAGGTACATTAGATACCCCCCCCCGTGACTCAGTAATCTGAGGGCTTATAATGCTAAGAGTCAAGTTTTGGTACCTGTGGTTTACATAGCATAGATAACCTCATTGTATAGCTTTGTGCTTAACAACAAATAAAAAAAAAATCACTAGTTAATATATATACATATATACACAAACATGATAAAACAGTTGCAGGTCTGAAAGTAATTTAAAGTACTATGTTTCAGATCAGTTGCCTATAACGTTTTATTATAACGTAACAAAAATGTTTGTTTTAGATTGGAATTATTCTGCACTTTCAACTGAGAAAGCAGTGTATTATTATTTCCGAGAAACTATAGAGCCGAAGCGTGGTATTATTGGACAGAAAGTCCAAGTTAAAAATACAAAGACGAGTTTTGTGACATTGTTTGTCTTAACTAAGAAAGTTTTAACCTTATCCATACATGAGTAAACGGCAAGGTCAGGGACCCCTAGGATTCAATTATAGCTCTACTTTAGTTTGAACTACTGACCAGAGGGAGGACACCCAGCTAGCAGCACCCACCTTCGCAGAGGCTTTGTCCTGGTTCTGGAAATTATTATATAAATTGTCAGTCGCTTTTATAACGAACCCTAGGCTGAAAGTGCAATTAATTATGCTTAGTGTTCAGTAGCATTACGGCTTGAGCCTTGGATCTTTCGACCAGTAGAACAGAACGCTAACCACTAGGTCATGACTGCCCTATAATTAAATTAACAATAAATCACTTTTCTTTTCCTATTATGTGTGAGTTCTTGCCATTTTGAACTACACTGCGTTACCAAAGGACAATACAGAGGAGGTGTAGTGTCTCATTGTTAGGGGTTCTTATCGTAATCTGTGAACCTAATCTTTTTTTTGAGAGCGACTGATTTTTTTCTTACCCTTGACATTTTTATTAGAAAAATAACTTTTGTTTTTTGTTTGTTTTGTCGCAAAGCTACACAATAGGCTATCTGCACTCTGTCCACCACGAGAATCAAACCCCGGATTTTAGTGTCGTAAGTCCGGAAACTTTCCACTCACCCACTGTTGGAGGCTCGTAACTTTTGGTAACGCTTACTTCTGTTCTTGCCCCTTACATTATATATATATATGCACTCTTTATAAGGATTTCTTCTGTTCTTGTTACTTTAGGACCTTCTGAGGAGGGAAAAGAGTCACTTTGATCTGGACACCAAAGAACACGACCGTGATAAGAAGTGACCCGGCAACGTTTTTTTGTAAACTTAACACAACTGAGATTACTGATGTAACTTGGGCAAGAAACGGCGTGGAACTGATACCAACTCAAGGTACTAAAGACAACGATACTTTTCGGATCGTAAAAGTGAAAAACGGCTGCGTTTTGCGTATTTTACGAGTGCTGTACGACTGGGATGAAGACAGGATATCGTGCGTGATTAGAAAAAAGGGCCAGAACAAAACTATTAACGTTGACTCCTGGATTAAAATGGGTATGTAAATACTACAACAATTGTTTCTAAATTTTATATATTATGAAGTAAACGTAAAATTCTACACAATGTTTCCCACGTCAGTAATATAGAAGTGCATATTTTATACGAAGTGCAGAAGAAACTATATATATATAGATATATAAATGACAGCAAAATAAAAAAAAACAATAAATTATTTCTTAAGTATTCGAGAACTATATATAAAAAAGATTCAAAATCATATTGATCCACAAATATATATTAGTAATCATTAGTAGGGAAAGATTAAAAAATATTAAGCAAAACAGAAATCTGTTATTTTTTTTTAACTTTTGCTCAAAACTACAAAATAGCTAGCCGCGCATAGTCGTCCCTAATTTTGAGCTGATAAAGTAGAAAGAAGTCAGCTGGTCAACAGCACCCGCCGTCAACTCTTAGGTACTGTTCTCTGACCGAAAAGTGGGATTGGATGGTCACTCTTATAACGCACCTATGACCCTACTAGACCATGAGTAGTTAGGGAGGCACTTCACAGGCGGAAGTTGACATGTCGCCATGACACATGAAGATGGAAGTAGACCCAGCCTACTATATCCTTGAAATAAAAAAATGCCGATATGGATATAGATATCTACGTACACTCAAATCACCAAAATATCTATTTGCGTCGAGTACTGGGTGACATTCCCAGGGGTTGCGCTGCCAGGCACTGCCCCCTCGTGTTAAGACTGGCTGCCTCACAGGAAGTAGAAGAGTTCCTTTATTGTTGTTACCAAAGGTCTTCTGACTGTATGCTGCCCTACTGATTCCCAATATTTTGTTTTCCTAGCTACACCATATGGTATTATGTTTTCCAGCAGTCTCATTCCCTTTGAATATTAATGAACACCTTCTATGGTTGGCAGTTTTACGTTACTAGTGTAGAGAAGGTGAACATCCTACCAGTAGATTTCTGCTGGACTTGGTAAAGGAAGCTTCTCGTGAGAGCTTGTCAGTTTTCTTGTTTAGTTTTACCCATACATGGCCTGGTACTTACATCCAATTGATGATATTACCATGTGGTTACTTCTTTGCTTCCAATCATTTATCAGAGAACCAATCACTCTTGATTTTATGAAGTACTATTCAGAGGCTAATACTATGGTTTCCAGCTCAGTCTTTAGGCAAAGCTTGAATGTTCCATCAGCCTTTATGTAAAATGTTGTTGCCCGCGAAAATGATCAACCAGCTCTTTCACTGTCTTTGCATAAGAACTATCTATGACTATGTTGACAAGGGATTAGTCTCCATGATTTTTACATAGGTACTGGAAAGCATTTTCTACTTTATCATCAGTCCCATCTCTACATTTTATATTTTAGCTGATATCCACAGATTCCAGTGGCATCAGATATTTATTCCACAGGGGGAAATCTAAGGCCTAGTGGTGAAGAATTATCTCTGTAGTGGTTGTATGCCTGTCCACCCGTATCTGTCTCCAGAAGTGTCTTTTAGCCAATACTTTGCTTGGCTGGTGTCTGCAAAATCATTGTAGAATTATTATATTTTAACTTAAAAGGGCAGTGACTAGTTTTGCTTATAAGTGCTGTTTGTGTTCTGCTATGTAGCTGAGGCTTATGAGGTACAATAAGGTTTTGATATGGATAGCTGAAGTACATTCTGTGACTACTCTGAAACAAGTATTTTGCATCTTTTCAACCTTATCTAGCTGCATAGCACTCATACTGATCAATAGACAAGATTTGATACTTCATAAGCAGGTGGCGTTCTTCAGCTCTATTTCCTGCAGCAATTTTTATTACATAGATGCCTTTGGCAGTTCTGGATAATATGGTGTTATTTTTGATTGGTGAAGTTAAGTTGTCGCTCAAAAGCTACCTTCAGGTACTTAATTGTTTCTTCCAGAGGAATAGTAGTGCCCTAAAAGAATGATGACGGCTTGCCCTCATCAACATGCCTCTTGTTGAGTGTGCAGAACATGGCTGTGTCTTTGGCAGGACTGATAACTATTCCTGTACCACTGCACCATTCGCTTACCTTGCTAAGGGATAGTTGCATCTTTCTTTCGATTCCAGCTTTGCTAAAGCCTCTTTTTTTACTCCAAAATGTCACCAGCAAAGGTTAGCACACGGCATAAGTTTGGATTATCAAGACGGACTATATCCATGGTGTAGACGTTGAAGAAGACTGGTGAGAGTGGTGATCCTTCAGGCAGACCAGTGTTGATGTTAATTAAATCTCACCGCTAGTTTCCGTGCTCCACGATGCATTTTATGATAGTTAGTGCAGCTACAATCCATCTTACGCATGTTACAGTGATGTCTGTCTATTGTGAGCATTTTGTCAGTAACAATTGTCAGTCGAGTTCTATTTTAGGCATCTTCCAGATATAAATCTACTGCCAAGGTGTTCTGGCAAGCATCAAAACCTTCCCATATATCAGATGCAAATTCAGCAACATTCATCGGGTTTCTCTTCCACTGCGATATCCACCTAATGATGATGGTAGCATTGACTCAATCTGGTAAACAAGATTCGTAGCTATAGCCCTTTCTGTGATCTTGCTAATGATATTTTGTACGGCCTGCAAAAGGATTGTGATCCTTATACAGTTTGGGTAAGGATTTTATAAAGGCATCAGTAAAAATTTTGGGGATATTACCTGTTGCTCAGTTACACTGATTGTCTAACACTAATTTTAACATGTTGACTTCTGTGAGGTTCCTAATGGCGGAGATTATTACAGCATCTAAGCCTGAAGCTCCTTCCACCTTTAGATGTACTTATGCTTCTGTATATTTCATCCAAGCTAAAGATGACATTCATATCTACATGTAGTTGTAGCTCAGGTAAGGATTGCTATAGCTTGATTTCCTCCTGCATGCCACCATCATAATATTGATTAATATATCTGATCATGACTTGATCTTCATCTTTATGGAGGGTACTGACATAGCTATGTTTTTGTCCATATGCCAGCCAAAAGCTTGTGTAAGCACCAACATGATTGTGAGATTGACCTTGCTCCATTGTTCATTCCATTTGATGTCACGTGCTTTGGACTGGTCCCATGTGGAAAGCACGGGCTTTATTATGTACAAGTCTCGCCTCCTCTGCCTGGGCTAGGTCATACCTTACCCAATCTAGTACACTCAAGGGACCTGTATCTAATATAGTCAAGGCCAAGCCTTTCAAGCCAAGAGTTTTCATTTAAGACAGGTCATCTTTGAAGCCATGTGACTATAAAATTCAGTAATTAAGTACAGTACTACAGAAATTAAATTTAGTATAACCACACCTTGCTAATTATTGTAATTATCATTGTCGAATCGTGCAACAACACTGAGGCTTAACTCCAGTATAAATAGGCTTACGTATCAAAATAGATTCTTCGTTTTTAATCATAATGTTTTCTAGTTTTACTATACAGGTACTGATATTTATGATAATTTCGGAATTTAATTAGCTGATCATTACTGAAGGAGAGTAATCAATATTACATTCAAATTACCACATGGTCTGGTGGTTATGGCATATCGGGTTCAAGTCTCGTCGCCGAACATGCTGGCCTTTTCAGCCGTGGTTGCTTCATAATGTGATGATCAATTCCACTATTCCTTGGTGAAATAGTACTCCAAGAGTTGGCGGTGAATGATGTTGACTAGCTGCCTTACTTCTAGTCTATCACTTCAAAGAATGGTCAGGTAGTTAGGGCGCTCAACTCGCAATCTGCGAGTCGTGGGTTCGATACTCTGTCCCAACAAACATGTTCGCCCTTTCAGCCGTGGGGGCGTTATGATGTGACAGTCAATTTCACTGTTCGTTGGTAAAAGACTAGCCCAAGAGTTGGCGGTGGGTCATGATGACCTTCCTCTAGTCTTACACTGCTAAATTATGGACGGCTAACGCAGATAGTCCTCGTGTAACTTTACGTGAAATTCAAATAAACCAACCTAGTAAAAAAAAAAACACTGAAAAAATTAGAGACAGCTAGAGTAGATGACACTCAAGTATCTTTGCTCGAAGTTCAACAAACAAACCATACATCTGTCACATAAAAAACATTCAAGAAATAAAAAAATGCTTACCAAACAAGAAAGAGAGGGACCTCGGGTCAAAACAGTTTCATCAAATATTAATATGATAAATAGTTTGAATACAAGTGGATTAAAATAGGTGCACCTCTACATGATTGTATTTTAAAACTCATCTACATGTGCAGATCCCAATCCAACCTGTGATTTCCCAAGAATAACCTTCCATCCTCAGCCAACCAAAGTGGTCAAAGCTGGAGGGAACGTGACTTACAGCTGTAATGCAAATGGATATCCGCCACCGAATTTCTTCTGGTTGAAAGATATGGTTCCTATTCCAACAGAAGAGCGATTCAATGTTGATATTCATGGTATTTTCTATTTTCGTTGTAACTTGAGATTTTTATCTATGATTAAAGATATCAAGGTCAAGGAATAACTTTTTAAAACCTTAAGGCAAGAGTTATGAAGTTCAAGAAATAACCTTTTATGAAATTTATGGTTAAAGATATCAAGGTCAAGAAATTATATTTTATCAAATTTATGATTAAAGATATCAAGGTCAAGAACTAACATTTTATGAAATCTATGGTTAAAGGTATCAAGGTCAAGACATAATATTTTTCAAATCGTAAAGTAAGAGTTATGAAGGTCGGGAAATAACTTTTTTAATACCTTAAGGTAAGAGTTATATAGGTCAAGAAATAACCTTTTATAAAACTTAAGGTAAGAGTTATATAGGTCAAGAAATAACCTTTTATAAAACTTAAGGTAAGAGTTATATAAGTCAAGAAATAACCTTTTATAAAACTTAAGGTAAGAGTTATATAGGTCAAGAAATAACCTTTTATAAAACTTAACGTAACAGTTATATAGGTCAAGAAATAACCTTTTATAAAACTTAAGGTAAGAATTATCAACATCAAAAAATAACGTTTTAAAAGCAAGATTGTATAGATGACATGAACTTGGATACTTTGGTTCAGTTATTGGATCAGTTCAAACCTGCTTATAAAAAAGCATTATGAAGCGTTTTGAATCTTATATGTTTTTTAAGTTTTTAATAAAAAAACGCATTTTCAAAGTCTGTGAATAAAACTACTGGCCTTATAGGTTTTATATACTATGCATATCAATATTTTTCTAGCGTAATTAATAATTTTATCACAAATGGTTGGTATTTCAAGCAGCTATTACTCTTTATAATCGTTTTGTTCTTATAACGTTTTCTGATTCTAACAAACACCAGCATTTCAGTACATTTGTATACATCAGGGATATAAACTTTTGTGGAATTTCATACCAAACCAAAAGTTTTGGGGATAACAAGTTTCATGCAAACAAATCCCATCTCAATTTCTGCCTATATAACACTAATAACTATATCTAAAGGTCTGGAGTTATTTAAATTTTAAATAGTGGCTAGAACAGAGACAAGTGTTCTAGTTAGCTCTTCAAAAGGTACGTGTTAAATTTGGACGCATTTTTGTATTGTAGAATGTTATCAGTTTCTGAACTTTGACCATAGGTATTCTGTACTGAAATGTTAATTTAATTCAATTCATACTTACAAAGTGAGAACTGAAATAAGATGTCAGTTATCGTTTAGTCCTGAATTTGTGTGTTTAAAATACTATTTTTTTAAAAGGAAACCTGACTATTAAAGACATTGTAGAGAAAGACGGAGGGAAGTATGAGTGTATAGCCGAAAACGAAAAAGGATCAATTATGTCACGTGGTTCACATCTTTACGTTGGAGGTGAGGGGCCATTTTTTAAATATTCGACAATTCTAACAGCTAGTTATTAAAATTATCTATTTTGTTCAGAACTTATTTTTAAAAAAAAAGTGTTATCTTTTTTGAAATATGACAGACATCAAAGTAAAATAGGAAGTAAGCAGAAGACGCCAAGAACTATGATTAAAAAATATGGCATGTATGCAACGTCCATACTCAAGGTTTACCAATTGAAAAATTATCTCTAATCGACTGTATCTCGTAATTTTTGGGGATATTTTATAGGGTATTTTTACAGTTTCTTTGGTCTAGGGACATGACTACTGTAGTTAGTGAAAACTGTCTATTGAGACATCATGAGCCCAAAAGACATTCGAGTTTAATCCCTTTTACATTAAACTATTTAAGTCATGTTTTAAAGTCATTCTTTGATAGATAATTTAAGACTAAATATTTTGAGTTGACTGTGAAATGGGCGGCAACTGCCTATTAGAGAAACACTTGTAAAAATATATTGGTGATTATAGAGTCTATTTGTGCAGTTCAAGCATAGAGGACGACGTTTTGAAAGTCTTCCTCCTTTTGTTTTCTTTTCTTTTGCTTTTTTTGTGAACTAGAATATCTCAAAATATACAACGCC